GTGAGTGACACTCTCTCTCTCTCTATCACTTGGAGTCAGCGCATCGCTCTCTGAATCCAGACATCGATGCGAATCCCCCCGCGAGATGCAGGGCCGTGGGTGCCGTCATCCACGGCTGAAACCTCGTGCCATCGAAAATTTCCTGCGATGAGAATCGAACCGTGACCTTCCAATCACAAGCCCACCGCGCTGACCGCACGGCCCGGCCCGCAGGGGAGACGCCGTACGTGTGCGACGTGTGCGGGCGCGGCTTCGCGCTGCAGCAGTCGCACCACAAGCACCAGCAGTACCACACCGGCCAGCGGCCCTACGCCTGCCCGCAGTGCGGCCGCGCCTTCCGCGAGTCGGCCACCCTGCAGAACCACATGCGCATCCACTCGGGCGAGAAGCCGTGGACGTGCGAGACCTGCGGTACGCCCGCCCGTCGGGGAGCGATGCGGGGGGGGGAGGGGGGGGGGGGGGGGGGTGATGCCGGGTGTCGCGATTGGCCGTGGTTGATGCAGTGATGCACGGAACGTGGCATGTGATATGCTGCTATGATGGTAAAGGGATGACTGTATGGAGGTAGCGGCGGCGTACATGCCGGGATGGGCAGCGCTAACCCAAAGCTGTCATTGGTTTCAAAGCGCTCGTGATGTTTATTTGGCTTAGTGCTTTGTGCCACATTTCCGTAAAGACGTCGAGCGATTCTTTGTCGAAGTGCCGGCCCGTGGGGAGAGGATAGCAGTGTTGCCTCACGGTGGGCGCCCTGAGTCGGCGTGCGACCCGACCCGAGCGTGCGAAGAGACGCCGTCACCCAGCCCCCGGCACCGTCTTCGCAGGCAAGTCGTTCCGCCAGCGCATCACGTACGTGGTGCACCGACGCATCCACACAGGCGCGCTGCCCTACACCTGCACCGGCTGCAACAGCGGCTTCCGCTACAAGGTCAGCCACCGGCCGCTGCGCTCGGGCGCCGCGCGCTCGAGGTGGGGCCGCGCGCCGGCCGTGCCTTCCCCGCTCGCCGGGGGCTAGCCGTGCCCCAGGACGGGCAGGGGGTGGTCGGCTAGTCACGGTCGGAGCGCGGTCTGGCGCTAGACGGTGGCGCAGATGGATGGTGTTGCAGTCATTGCAGCAGGCCTTCGGTCTCGAATTCGGCTGCAAAAGGGCTGGAACGTGGCCCTGGTGCAGTCGTGGTAAGGACTTGTGCTGAGGTGTCTGCAAGGTCATCTGTAAAATGTCAGGATAAGCGCATTTCGGTTTCATTTCTCGCGTGTTTGAACAACCTTTGCATGATCGCACCGTTGTGAGACCCTAATTAGCTCAGTGTGCATTCCACTGCTCATCTATAGTCAAGACATCTCAAACCACTTAACCAATCATGTGCATTCTGGTCTCTTTTCCTTCCACCTATGAAAATGTCTGACATCATAGGTCACATCACGTCTATAACTGCATGCTCTTCCACAAAGTGGACCCATGTGTGCGGATGCGCTATTTTTTCGTTTGCATTAACCAGACGCGTTTCTAATCGCAGCTGAGTGCCTGCGGAGGCTGAAATTCCGTGCGAAACAGAGGTGAGGATTGCTGTGGGCTTGGACAGATGGGGACCGTATGCCATGTGCCCCGTTGATTTTAATTTTCTACATTGGTGGCATCGCTCGGCGAATAAGTGCTAGTTTCCACCAGACGCCAAAGGAAACGTGAAATAATGTGTGTTCGTGTCTTCGTGAAGCGCCTTAAAAGCTTCGTGTGACGTAGATCTGGTTAAATTTGTAAAATTCGTATAGCTTGAATATTTTTGTTCACTCGGTCTGCATTGAATATTACGTATGTGAAGAGTCTTTGAAAGATTTGAAGGGTCAGCTGTCAGAAGCTATGGGTTTAGAATGTTTGTAAGGTCACACATGGTGTTTAAGCTCGTCAGAGGTCACTTAGTTTACGAAGGGCGCAAGTGGAGAAGCTATTAGCAGCTCACGTATTACTGCAATCATCTATTATTCATGTCATTGTGTGGGACATCTCACAATATTTGATTTCCCACGGGCTTGAAATCAGATGCTTTTGTGGGGAAAGAATGCATACGTTATTTGACAATGCGCCAGGCGCAGATCTTCGGTGCCTTCAGTGTTCTGGCACATCGCCACACCATAGTCCCATGCAAATGCGCTCCTTGAATTTCAGGTCAGCCTCCGAGCTCACAAATGCACGGCGACTGAGCCGACCAGTGCCCCGACCCTGGCGCCACCCGAAGGCAGCCCTGCGCCCGACAACTTACAGACCTCGCCGGCGGCGGCGCCATCGTCGACGCATCCACGCCAGCATGTTGCAGCTGGTTCAACGCCAGCGCTGACGAACGAATACGCCGCCCAGCAGAGCATGCCAGCGGCCGTGCTCCTCGAGCCGTCCGTGTTTCCGTTCGTCGCGGAGGAATTCCCACTGGAGGACGGACTGGCAACGGACACCGTCTCGGTCCACTCAAGCGGACCGCTTCCCGCCGCGGTCGGCACGCCCACTCGTCTCGCAGCGGCGGGCGTGCCGGAGGGGCCGTCCGGCCAGCAGCGCTTCCGGCCCAAGGTGTCGCGGGTGCTGCTGCACCGTTTGGTGCAGAAGCTGCGGGCGCGGCGCGCGCGCGCCGACGGCCTGCCGGAGGCGTCGGCGCACCGCGCGTCGTCCCCGGGCGCCGCGGCCGCGGCCGGCGCCGATCCGTGCGGCGCGACAAACCGGGGCCGGGGCGCGCCGGCGCTCCTCTCGACGTCGCCGCGCCCCGGCCGGACGAGCCGTCCGGGATGGTCGTGGCGGCGAGCGGCGTGCTGCTGGAGGAGCTCGCGTTCGCGGCGCCGCCGCCGGCGGTGGAAGCGCACGCGCCGGCGGCGCCGGACATCGACCTGCAGCAGCTGTTCGCGTTCCCGGTGCCGGAGCGGCCGGCGCTGCTGTCGCCGCTGCACCAGGCGATCGAGAGCGTGGCGCGCGAGCTGGCCAACATCCCGCTTAACTCGCCGCCGCCGCCGACCGTCGGCGAGTCGGCCGAGGCGCCGCTCGAGGCGAGGCCCGCTGGCGGCGAGGCGGCGGCGGCGGGGCGTGATGCGGAGGCGGAGGGCCCGACCGTGGGTACGGCGCTCCCGGCCGCCGACGGCGAGCAGCCCTGCGACCTGGACATGCTCCTCAGTCAGCTGTTTGATGAGGACTAGCCGCCTGGTCGCCTGCGGAGTGGTCTGACAGACGGCAGCGGAGCTGCACGACATACTTCCTCGGTGATGTGGCTTGCGTGCTGTTTCGAACGGTGGAACCACGGCGTGGCAAGTTCGGGCCGTGGACTGAGCAGAAGTAGAGCCATTGGGCTTGGGCAGTTGCAGTCATAACTGCGGGCTTGTGCCAGTCTAGTCAACTCACCGTGATCGTATTGCTACTCTAAGTCACCGCATCTTGTGTGCTTATTGTTTCGAGTTGCACCTTACGTTAGTCTGCACTTGTAGTACTAAGACATGACTGTATTCTGCTGGCAGCTTGCTTCAGTGAATACAGTTGAGGTGCTATTTACATTTTCCTATGATCTTCAGTTACTCGTGTGCGATGTCGTGCCGTGTTGGGTGCTTAGTGCGCTAATATAGATCCGTTTTGTAGTGTTGGTTCTTTGACAACTGCTGCTCACTGGTGGTGCTGGTACGCTTCAGTACGACCCTCACTGGCATGCGGCCCCCCGGGAGATCTTTTTCCTGGCCCGACCGCCGCCCTTCGACACCGATGGTGGCGTTCAGTGTCCCGAGGACCACGCGAAAGCAATGCCGTGGATCGCGCGGATGGAGCGGCGCCTGACACGGACCACTCAGTGGTCACGTGCCGCAGGGTTAGTCAGTGGTGTCCGAGTCTGCCTGTCTTCGTCATCAGGCCACATGATGACCTGATGCACTCCGTGATCAGTCGTACCACCTACACGCACTGGTACCGCACGGCTGGTAAGCTGTACCGAGGCTCCGCGTCTGATGGTGAGAGTTCCGGCGTGTGTTGAATCCCGGCGTTTTGCTGGCACTGTCGAGAATGACGTTCTAGGGTTTGCGCAGACGGGGATCGTTCTCACATGTCGAGCTTGGCGGACCTTGGCGCGAAGTGACGCGTTAGAGAAGTGGTGTGTTACGGTCGCTCTGGCTGGGTAACGCAGGACCAGTTTTCGACAGGTCAGTTGGTATGAATGGAAGTCATGATTTACGCCCTGGAGTAAAATACGGAATGTGGAAAACGGAGCGAGGTACTGGGAAACGCCAGCTTAGACTAGGATATCGGCCATCAGCGGAAACCTCAAACTCGGAGACTGTGCTTCTATGCGGGGCTTTACAACTAAGTAGCATTAATTTGAAGGCAGACTGCAGCTCAGAAACAATCCGAAATCGGCTCTTAAACTTTAAAGTTCCTAAACCACTTCAAGCGTGGGTGTGGAACTTGAAGAACATACAAAAACGATTACACAGTTGCGCTAAAAGGCTAAGTTACTTCCACGTTGGCACGGCACTGTCAGTAGTCTGACGCGGGACTAGAACCAAACATCTCAGCGCTTTCACGGCAGTTTATTTATCATCTGCATAAATAAGAACAGCACAAGATAACATTCCGGACGAACACTGCACCTATGACGTGCGTTACAACGGGGCCCAGTGACGGATGGTGAAGGGAGTCCTCTCCGCGCGTGGTGCATACGTCACCGTGTACAAACGTCCAGCCACCCCAGTTCGCTCCTGAGACCACTCGAAGGCGCTTGCATCACTTCGGACCTACCGCAGGGACCCACAAGCCAGTGAGGCGGCACGGGCGGACCGTACCGCCGCATGCACGAGCGCAGGTCGCCCGGAGGGGGCGCACACTTATCACTGGCCACCCCGCCCTGCACCGCGGACGGCGCCCCGCATAAAACAAGCTCAACCGCTGCTGACTAGATGAACCGCGCGCCCACGGTGGCGCCACCTAGCTGCCTGTGCCACGCCGGGCGCCGCCCACCCGCCACCCCCGGCGTCCGCCGGCGGCGCCACGCCTAGCTGGCGGCGGCGCGCCGGAAGCTGCCCGACCGGCCCAGCTGCCCCGGCCGCAGGTCCACCACCAGCACGGTGATATTGTCGAGCGAGCCGCGCTGGTACGCCAGCAGCGCCAGGCTGCGCGCGCCCAGATCCGGCTCGTGGAGACGCGCGCGCACGTGCTGTACGGCCTCCTGGCCGCTGGCCGCGTCCCAGAGGCCGTCAGAGGCCAGCAGCAGGAACGGCGCCGCGTGGTGGCGCACGCTCACCGTCTGCACGTCCGGGCGGCACGTGAGCAGGCGCCGCTCCTTGAACGGCAGGTCGCCCAGCGCGCGGCTCGTCGCCAGGATGCCGTTGACACGCCACACGCCGTTGAAGGTGACGAAGCCGCCCGCCTCCGTGATGCGCTTCTTCTCGGTCAGCTGGCGGGAGAAGGGAGGGAGGTCAAAGGGGGCGCGGTGCACGGCAGCTGGAGGGGGACATGGGGTGGGGGTGGGGGGCAGGGGAACGGTGCATGAACAACTGAATGAGAGGAGGTGAAAGGAGGACAGGCGATATGTCAGCCAGCCGAAGGGAGGGAGGCCTGGTGGAAGTGAAAGGGCATCTGGCGCATGATAGTGAGAGGGCAGTCCGACGCCCCCTCACTGGCGCAGGGGGCCCGGCCTCAGACAACGGACAGGATGTCGGTCAAGCTTGCAATGTTGCAAGGTTGACAAGATCGCAGAGCTTGCAAAGGCGAAGTGAGGTCATGGGGAACTACGTATGGGGGCACCGAGTGCCACCTGCTCACATGATAGTAATCGAATAAGGTACGTGACCTGGCATGGTCTGACGACACACAGCACCTGAGCGATGACCTTTGCAAACAGAGCATCAGCACGCTGTGGTCGTGCCTGCCATCACAAATCGAATCAAAAGGACAATCATAAGCAGAGCCCAGATTATGAGAGCCAAACCGCACCCACGACCCACGCACCAAAAACTGCTGAGACATCGCGCAATCGATTTACACTGGCTCTCCAAAACCCCCCGACAACTGCTGTCAGTCTCGCCGCGCCGCCGTCCCTCTCGCGGCGGGGTGGGGCGCGCCCGCACCTGGTCCGGCTTGTGGTCGGTGGTGAGCGGCACGGCGTGGCCGCGGGCGTCGCAGAGCACAGCGCGCGAGTCGCCGCAGCTGGCCACCACCACCTGGTCGCCGTCCACCAGCGCCAGCACAGCCGTGGTGCCTGCGGCGAGGCCGCGCCGGCGAGTCATGTGACGGCCGCGGCGGGCGCCGCCGAATGCGAGGCACGGCGCGACCGGCGGCCGCGACAGTGGTCCACAACGTAGCCGACCCCAGCGGCGTCGGGGCGAGGATCCACGGAGAAGGATGGTCACTGTCCACATCAGCCACGCGTCATCCGGCGTGGACAGCAAGCGGTGGAAACTGCCTCCAGGTGTAAGCGAGCAAACTGAAGACATCGTATACTGCTTGCCACCGCGCAGCTGGCACGAAACGCCACGCAAGTAACCCACCACAAGCCAGGGAGCAAACCCCACACCCGGGCTTCCATCCCCCCTTACGCGCCGGGCTCGTACACGTACCCCAATCGGCAGACCGTATCACGGGGTGCTTCCAGAACGACCGCACTCACCGGCGATGCACGCCTCGCGCCGCGCCGCGTCCAGCAGGGCGGCGTCCACCTCGCTGAACACGTCCTGCATCACCTTGGTGTAGTTGATCTGGCCGAAGAAGTTGACCAGCATGTCCCCCTGGGCGGAGGCGCTGCGCCGCGGGCTGCGCGTGCGCTGGTACGCCTCGTGCGACTTGCAGGAGCCCAGCGTGGCGCCGGCCGGCTCGCGCTCGCCCTCCGGCTCAGGCTCGGCCGGGGATATCGATATAGAGACGCGGGCGGACGACTCGACTGCCGGAGAGGCGGCGGACGGAGTGGCGGCGTCGGCCGACTCGTCCGGGTCGGCCGGCTCGCCCACGTCGGCCGCTCGGCCCCGCTGGACGTGCACCTCCAGCAGCTTGGCCTTCAGCGCCTCGATCAGGTGGTCCTTGGTGTACTCGGCCGCGAACTGAAACGAGCGGTGAGGCGGTAGGCGGGCGACCGTCCGGGCCGGCTTCGTGCCATGGTCTGGTGTGCTGGAGCTCGACTGGTTACCGATGCGACCGACACAATCGACACAAACACGTCCTGGGGACATGCTCGTTCGTGAGCGCAGTCCTGGCAACGTTTCACATATGGATTTTCAATTCAAATGCTGCCGACTACATCAATGACCGATCCCGAAAACCCGTCTGAGAATGAATGACCACACTGAAAACGGCCAAAACGCGCTCGAACGACACGCTGCGATATGCGCACCAATCAGCAGCGCACCTCCTCGAGGGGCCGACACGGCGTCACGGCCGCCCCGCCACTCACGTCGCCGCCGTGTCCGTCGTACACGGCGTAGATGGAAAGTCCGCGGCCGTCGCGCTGCTCCTCGCCGGGCGCGCGCGCCCCGAGCGCGATCTCCTCCTCGGCCGCGAACCGGTCCTCCATCTTGGAGCGCAGGCCCTGGATGGCGAAGGCGTGGCCGCGGCGGGCCGCACCACTCGAGCGGCGGCGTGTCGCCGCACAGCGCGTGCGCCATGTCCTGCACGTGGCGCGCGCCCGGCAGCGTAACGCGCGCGCTGAGGGCGCGCGCCGCGCGCGCCAGACACTCGAAGCACCGGTCGTTGATGAGCAGCGCCAGCAGGCCTATGGCCAGCAGGACGCCCAGCATCTCGGGCCGCAGCATGTGGATCTCGATGAAGAGCAGCAGGTACTCCAGCACAATCAGCAGCCGCTCCCACAGGGCGGACGCCGTCCGCAGGAGGAGGTGCGCGTGGCTCATGAAGAAGCTCTGCAGCACCTCGCACTCGATGGCGTCATCCATGGTGTTCAGATGTGAAGTATTTGCTCAAAGCACTTTGTGCTTCCTAAGGCCGACTGTCTATGCACTCTTAAACACGTTTTGCAGGCGATGTTGTTGAACCCTGCATGTCACTGAGGTAAGAAGTAAATGTAAAATATTATTACTTTCCAAGTTGGATGGCTCTCAAGTATCACGCACTTGGTCTTCTCTGTTTCAGATTTAAGTGTAGCTCCCTCATAAGAGATTAAATAGGAGCACTGAACCCATGGTCTGGCATATAACCTTACTGTCCAGCCACCAATCTTCAGGTTCAAGAAGCCTTTCAAAACAGCTTGCTTCCATGCATGCTTCTCCTCAGCCCTGTCCTGTAAAAACCAAAACACATGCTATGACCAACAATGCAAATTATTGACAGATAAAGCAGAAGTAATAGCCTTATTCCTCACAGAAAAAACAGGACAATAGAGACATAGATGGTTTGATATTTTGGCAACATACCTTTATTGAAACAACAACAGCAGTTTGTCATTAACTTCTGCTTTTGTTTTGCTAAAGGCATATTACCAAAATATCAACCCATTTATAACTCCATTCTCCCAGTTTTCTCTGAGGAATATTACTATCACTACTGTTGGCATCTCTGCAAATAAGAAAAGCACAACATATTACCCAGGCGAAGAGGTCTAACCCAATAAACCCTGTGACACAATAAGCACAGCATGATTACACCCCACTTAGTGATCTGTTAAAGCACTTGCTGCAGGTGACACCAGGTATGATCTACAGTGAAAATGATCTACTCACGAGGTCAGCAACCAGTTTTGGTGTAAATGCAGATGTGCATATTAGTGTGTGGGTTTAATTTTTGCTTAGGAGTGTAATGTGCATGTATGAAAATGCTTGAGTATGGATAGGTACCACATGTCAATGGGTTAGTTAGCTGGTGTCACACCTGGGGTTGGTTTAGGTGACACATACCAGGGATAAGGGCTGTTTATCAGTGTAATGTGCTGTTTTAAAGACAAACTTGAAGTGTCAACATATGCAAATGTGCTTTTAAAGGTGGGCATACCATTACACATGTACAGTTTTACTCCACTGGTGACCTTGGTTCTGTATCTTGTGTAATGCATCTTCATGCCTTGAAAGAAAAATTTTGGTACCCTTCAACCATCAGTATCAATCAGTACCTTCAGAGCAACAGCTTGCCCAAAAAGTTACAGATCAGCTTTATGCCACTTGAGATTTGATGCCTTTACAAGCTTTGACTGGAGAGAGTGGACTATGAGCTCAAAAGAATAAGAGTAGCTAAGATACACAACTAGGAGGACACCCCATCAGCCATGCAACATGCAGGATAATCATTGATATGTTGGCCGCTCCAACACCTGAAAGATATCCTCATTTGATCTCCAATTCATTGAACAAAATATAAAGAAGTTAGGATTCCCAAGCATCTCATCCTTGGTGATGCAAATCGAACAAAAAAGTACACAAAATGTACTCAGGCCTCATTATACAAGCAGGGTTTTCAGAAAAATTTGTTTGATGTTCAAATACAGTACAATTTAGAAGTACATATTGCTCTACTGCCAACTGAAAGATCCATCCTGTTTACATACCACTACAGAGCCTGAAGTGTGGCTGACCAATTTGGACAATCTAACTCCAGGCCCACAGATGGCATGTTGATCCACATTAAGCATTATTGAAAATGGTTGATGTGACAATGCAAACAGTTTTGGATATAGCACAGATTTAACTAAGCATGCATTTTCCCATAAAGTGCTTTGTTTGGTAGTGTTGCTTTACAATACATAACAAGGGGAATTACACAAATTCAACCTGTCTTACATCTCTAAAAGATCAATTAGTCATGTCATCTTCCCTAATGAAGACAATGCATTAACAATACAATATGTGCAATTAGGACCTAGAGCACAGTCATTCAAGGAACTTATCATAACCTGATATGGCAAAGTAACTTAAGTTTAGCAGGTTGTATTAGGTTAGCACTGTGAGCTAGTGTGCTGATAATCATCAATCTTTAAAAGAACAAGAATTGCGAGACAAGAGACTTGTGATAAACTTGTATGAGCAAGCATAATATCAATAGCATATCTCTCTTTTGATTATTATCATTATTAATGGAAGTCTCTATCATGGAATTAAATAGGCACTGACATGATGGTAATAGGCACTTCATACACAGTAACAGGCAATAGGCACAGACTAGTAGGTCACAGGCACATGGTGTGACATGGTACCTGTATATAATGGGGCTCCTGCAAACGGATCAAACTATTTCCTCACAAATATTGTGATAAATATTTAGCAAAATGGCCTGGCACCATAAATAAAGTGTTGTAAACATGCAAAGAATCATAGGTCCCTAGAAGAACAATTGCATTAACTACAACCTATTTGAAGTATTGTGGGGATTTAGAACAGACACCCCTGCAGTCATATTATTTAACCAAATCTTGTTACCTTAATATGCAAATGTTACTTCTGTAATGCTGCATAAAAAATGAGGAAAATGAATGCCTACTTGACATGTTCCCCAAGTAGCTGAATTGATCATGTCTTCTGGCATCATGTCAAGCTTACTGGGTCAGGGTGTACTTTCCTACCTAACATCAGAAAAAATCATTGTACACCATTCATTGTGTTTAAGGCAGGACCTATGGCAAATAATCACAAAACAGGTAGATTCATGCTCTTACCTTCAATTTTTTATAATTACGAAGGCGAGCTCCCAAGCGCCGCACACACACAGCAGCCGCGACGCCGGCGCCATTACTGTGCGCGGTCACAACATTACTGTGCATCAAGCAGCATCAAGAACCATGAATATGTAGGGGCCAAGGTAACAAGAATCCATGAAATTTGAGGGGGATTGGGTGGGGAATGTAAAGCATAATGAGAACATGGCGGCTAAATAAAAGCTCACTATACAGTACCTATATATGGCATGGAATATGGATGCCAATGGGATGCTGGCTTGAAGGGGATATAGGGTGGGGAGATTAGGTTAGGTTAGGTTAGGTTCAGTTTGGTTTGGTTCAGTTCAGGGTTGGGTTGGGTTAGGTTAGGTTAGGTTAGGTTAGGTTAGGTTAGTTAGGTCAGGTTAGGTTAGTTAGGTCAGGTTGGGTTAGGTTGGGTTAGGTTAGGTTAGCTGAGCTTAGGTTCTGGTCTATTCTTGGTTCGGTCAGGTCAGGTCAGGTCAGGTCAGGTCAGGTCAGGTCAGGTCCAGCCGGGCCGGGCCAGGCCAGGCCGGGCCGGGCCGGGCCGGGCCGGGCCGGGTTGGGTTGGGTTGGGTTGGGTTGGGTTGGGTTGGGTTGGGTTGGGTTGGGTTGGGTTGGGTTGGGTTGGGTTGGGTTGGGTTGGGTTAGGTTAGGCTAGGTTAGGTTAGGTTAGGTTAGGTTAGGTTAGGCAAGGTAAGGTAATGTTAGGTAATGTTAGGTTAGGTTAGGTTAGGTTAGGTTAGGTTAGGCTAGTTTAGGATATGTTCTGGACTATTCTGGGCTGTGTGTTTCATAAACATACCTAAACATGATAAGAAACAAATTTTGCTGCATTATTACTGTTACCTTGGTCCTGTACACTTTTTATGGTTCTTGATAAGCAGAAATGTTGTAATTACACAACGCAGAAGAACGGTGCTGGGGAGTCGAGGTGGTGTGGTATGTGCAGCGCTCAGGAGCTCGCTATCATATTTATTGAAATTTGAAGGTAGGAGCATGATTCTACCTGTTTTGAGATTATTTATGATATGTTCCACATTAAACACAACAAATGGTGTACGCTGATTTTTTCTAGCATTAGGTAGCAAAGTACACCTACACCGCCTACTGTACAACATAAGATCCACATAATTTTAAAAGAACAATCACATGATGACCTAAAAAGACCAGGCGCACCTCATTTGAGCAGGTATTGGCGGGAGAATCATGTGTCATGCATACATGTTGATACCACTTCAGTACCTACCAACAATTGCAACATTACACAGAATGCCTGACAGCAATCAAGAAATAGGCCAGATTACAAGAGCAACACATGTTACACAGCAAATGTTTGGTGCACCTTTCACACCTCAACGGCACGATCGCCGCGCACATGCTGTAAACCACAGAGCTTGAGTTTGGTGCAGTTACCAGATTACAGCATGTAGAGGGGAGGGTTTTGAAGCGTATGCCTATTTTTAAATCGCTTCTTCAAGTAAAAATATCCCTACAGGATTTAGAGCAAGAATAATTTGAGCTGGCCAGAAATTAGTGCACTAACGTCGGGTACGCGTGCGGCGCAACGGATGAGCTTTTACAGACATGTCAACAGACAGCATCTCCCTATCAAGTAAGGCCAATAAATCCAAAATAGGTAGAAGGCCGCACGCCTAAGCACATTTTTCGCATCATTTCCCCATTCGCATACCAACCTCAGTTCACTGATCGATGGCTATGCGGCATAGCACTGCCCTCCCGCACCGAGGCTCGTCTTACCCAAAGCTGTCAATGTTTGGGCTGACATTGCAATGTATCCAATGCGTGACGATCACAACGCTCGTTGTAGAAAACAATTGCTACCATATTGTCTCCAGATCCCGAGAGGTAGAGGGAACACTGAAAAAAATGTTGCATGAAGCTGGGCAGAAGATCATCGGTCTAATTCTACCTTTGAACGGATTTATCCGGTAATTCGTCCATTATGCATACTTATATTAGCTTTTATTGCAGCTTTAGGCGGTTGACATTGTGCATTGGAAAACCTAATTTCTGCTGGCATGCTTCTCGTTACCGCAATGTAGTAAAAAAAAAGAAAGCAATTGGTAGTTTCTGCACCATTTTAGGTATCCACGGCATTCATACTTTATCTGCTCAAGGAAACTTACATAAGCCACATACGCCACTATTGACCAACCAAAGTGGAGAAAGGAAATGAGCATGTAGTTTAAGGCGGGACTTCATTCGTTTAGAAGGCGCACGCACTGGCATAAAACAGAAGGAGAGCACATTGCGGCAGCAATTGGAAACCTTGGAAACGGCACGGATTGCTCGAGGACGTAGTGTTGCAAGCGCTGTACGGGGCTGCGTGGAGGGCGGGTGAGATAAGAGGAGGTGTCCGTGGCAAATTCCGACTATGGCTGGAAGTTGAGCTTTTGTTGAGTGATTGTTAAGTGCTACGATTTAGGTCGTGTTGCACGCAGATGTTGTGTAATCTGGAAACATTCCGATAAAACTGTATGTACGAAACTGCGAGCGGTGAAGAAAGCTGAGAGAAAAGGTGATTCAGAGTGCATTTTAGCCATAACACAAAAGTCTCCAATTGCATGCACAAACACTTCTAACATGGGTGGCATCCTTTTGTGTTTGAGATGAATGAGGCCGCCAATTATTGTAGTTCCACGTCTTGGGTATCGTACATAATTCTAAAATTGGGATGCTTATGTGCATCCATATTTATGTAAATTGCTCTTATAGATATAATCCATTTCAACAAGTTTAAGTGCATTGATATGCAAGATGCTCTTTGCAACTTTCCTTGGCTGAGTTATGACTGATGACACATAGTAGTACAGGGGAAGAACATGTGTATGAGGTAGGTAGGTATGATGAGCCAGCCAGATTTGATTCTTTGAAAGAATGAGATCAAAGGGATAGAGTATTTAAAGTTTGTAATATGATTACTTCTAGAATAAGTTGAAATGCAATTTCCAAAGGGCGGTGCCCCAGACTGGACATCCTATGCATCTAGGCCTATAATATATCAAACACTTGTGTGCTATCTTGTTGCCTCCAATGCCATAAGCTCCAATACTTCCATGATGGAAGGACTACTAGTTGGGACTTGCCTTTCAGTGTCCTCTCAATAAGTCAAAGTCATGCTGGTAAATTGCATAGCATGCAGACATGCTACCTTATGAATCAGGAAAGCATGCATCACAACTTACACATTTGTAAGTTAAGAATGAGTTTAAGCAAACTTGATGCTTTTAACACCAAAATGCTCCCTGGTTCTCTGCAAGTATTGAGTCATGCTCATGTTTCCATGAGTTTGAGTCAAAATTGATCTTGTATCTTGTTTTTTGCTTTTGTTGTGAAAGGAGGCAGTGTTGTCACCTGATAAGCATTTTATTTTTAATGGGAAATCACATTTTCAGTGATCAATAAATAGCAAGTTCCTGTTTGCAGCTAAAAGTGCACATCTAGTGTGTCCAGTTGCACCATTGTGGTAAATACTGGTGATTTAGCAAATCCATGGTGCTTACATAGCATTAGTGTGGCCATGAGCTGCTGCATTATGCACTGTGTATAGCAGTAATATGGCCATACCTATTTGCAGAAGATGAATAATGTCTGATCATTGCTTGTTACTGTTATTCAATCAGTACAATATTGTACCAATGTCTATTTTTTAACTTTTTGCATATCATGTATCATGCTATTGGGTCATGTTTCTGCATGCATGAGGTGCAGGTCAAAGTAAGCATGACTTCTGTCTTTAAAATGAAATAAAACAAAATATTTGATGACATTATTTCATGTTAAAATTAAGTTCACCAATCAAGACACTTAATTTTCAACACAAAATAGTTAAATCAAAATTTGAAGAAAGCATTTTTGTCTGACAGCCATGAGCAGACCACATAATGAGCAAAGTTTAAGTTTTACATGAGGAATCAATGCTGAGTGTATGTCAGTCCCAGCCCCTGAATAGGGAGTGGATGATGATTTTGCTGATGTGTGTGACATGCTGTAGGAAATGATCAGGGACCATTTTGGACTTGCCACCACCCTTTGCATTCTGGCTGCTAGGTGATACTACCCCTTGTCAGGCTTTTTCAGTCTTCAAAACCTTGCTGCATTTAAAGTATGGTGTTCTATAGGTGACATGGAATATGTCTCATTATCCCCTCCAGAGCAGCTGAATGGCCACTGATCTATCATGTACACTGATTGCTCTAATTGGTTTGTTTATGCCTGTTCCAGAAAATTACTTGTGTGAGGCATATTTTGTAATATTTTGGTAACATTAGTGTTGTTAGGATCCATCTTATTGCTTTTGGGATGTGTATTTTGTGGAAAGATGACCCACTGCAAAACTGAACAGCTAGAATAGTCATTCACTGTCCATGGCCATCTTAGATTTTTATTAGAACCACTTGCCGCACTGATGTGCCTGAAATACAAACACACACATGTCACAGATAGCTTGCTATGTCTTTCAGGTAGTTTTTTGGTTGAATAAGTGAATATTGAAAGATAATACCATTCCAGAAATTTAACAGTTTAAATAGTGTTTGAATAAGTAATGATATTTACATTAGTGTGACCATCATCACATCATTATATTTATATATTTGCTATATTTATCATTAAACATTCATCTGCAGTGCCAGAAATAACTAGATTCATGATTTGTGATGTGCATGCACACAACCAAAAAAATGCATCCCAGTCCAGATTTGGATGCATGTGTTGTATGCTGTAGCCAGGAGCATCTGGAAACAGTCATTTAATCTTCCAGTGTTTGTTGTTGTTTTTTTAGTAGTGGTTTGTATATGCTATTCTGACCCTCGTGTTTAGTTTAGTGGTTCAACACCTGAGTAAGAGAGTGTGATTCAACACCTGACTTAGAGAGTTGTGAAACTCCAGTTCCACTGCTAATGCATCATGCAGGCTGCTTTGCTTGGCATGGCTTACCAGTGAGATGCTCTTTTGAAGCATGAGATGAGCAAGGTTGTAACAGATGTGAATGGTATCAACATGCAGAGGATATCAAAACTTCGTAGATAGAGCTGTGTGCCTGGAGGAACTCATGCAGTTGGATATCATCAGTGTGAAGAGTATCTATTTTCAAATATATTCTAGTAGAGGCAAAGCAGGAAGTTCAGCAATATGCTTACTCCAGTTGGTGACCCCATCCCCCTCCAGTTATTTGGATTTCTCCTTGCCATTGGGCATAATGACGCACTCAGCTGCGTGGCTTTGGAGAAGCGGCGGACGCAACAGCGAATCAAAATCCGTACCTCTTTTTTCCCAGACCTATGGGATTCCTCCCCTCTAGCTTTAGAGTAGGTGTTAACTGTAAAAATGATCTAGAATCAGCAAATAAAGCCAGAAGAACAGCTCTTATGTTTTCTGCTGCGGATTTGCGCCGGAAGGCTGGAGTGAGGCTGACGGCGGCAGTGCGTCGCGGTCGGCGTGCGTGCCGCGCCAGCCGCGGGCCGCACCCTCACCGTCTCCCTGTTGCAGGGCAGTCGTGGTCCCATGGATCCAGAAGCCCACTGCAGCAAGTCATCTACTGCGCAGCCGGCCGGAGGTAGGCACTGCACTGGTCTCCTTATCGTGATACTAGATGGAACCTCGCCAAGCCATGGCCGCGGCGTGTCGTTAGGACGGCTGCAGCCTTGCATCCCACTGGTCTCCTTGCCATTGCACTGACACCGAACCGTGCTTGAGCCTTACCGTCCCAGGCTGACGCCCGCAGTGGCGGGTCGGGGACTCCCGCTTGCCGACTGCGCCTTGCGTCCCAGGGCTGGGCTCTTCGCCTTCCAGACGAACGCCCTCAGTCGCGGAACTAGGATGGCCCGTTTCAAGCCAATGCCGTGTGTTCCAGCGCAGTGGCCCCGCAATTCCAGACCAACGCCTGTAGTTGCGGCGCTGAGACATTGCAGACGATATTTTGTATTGCAGAGATATTGAGATATTGCGCGGCATTGCAGACGAACGCTTTCATCCCAGGGTGGGATCCCCGCACTCCGGGCCCACACCACACCACACCGAACGGGGGGGGGGGGGAAGGGGGGGGGGGCGTTTTCGACGCTGACACGTGTGGTGAGGGGCTGGGATTCTGCCTGTCGAAGGTGACGCCTTTGGTTCTGGGGGTACGCGTCTCTCGTTCACACTGACAAGTCATGGGGCCTCTCATCTCCGCCATCGCGAACTTGCTGACGTCCCGCTGGGCTGTTGTGGGTTCGTGTACCTGTGCCGCTGCGGCGGACCTGTACCGTGTGGAAGTGACGGCCGAGCCCAGCTCCGGACAGGCGACGACACGTGACGCTCATTATCTTGACTGATGCGTTTGACCGTCGAGACGCATGCTCGCTGAGTGGTCCCCTCTAACACCAAGCGGCGGCGTGTTGGCCTAATCACCACATCGCACGCCTTCTGTGTTTGTTTGCACGGGTGACCGGCCACCGCGCCGCGCGCGAGCCTCGTGCGTCCCGTCTCTGTAGCGCCAGCTGTGTGCTTCCTCGGTGTCTGGTTGCCCCCGTGCCGCGCGGATGGGCCGCGCGTGCACCGCCGCGTGTCGCCGTCGGCTGCATGCTCCAGCGGCGAGCGCGGCTCGGCGCGGCCCGACGCCGGCCGAGTGGTGCTAAGCGCCGGGTCGGGTCCGGCTACACGCGGGATACGGCGGGGGGGGGGACGCACATGGCGTGCCCAAGGCTAGTGACAGCGCGTCAGTTGTGGTCCAGTGGGCTATGTGAGGGAGGCCGGTGGTAGCTTTGTGCACCATGCGCACCAGTGGAAGCGGTCGCCAGCCGGCACCTGACCGGTTGCCGTAGAATCGGAGCCCTACTCCGTTACACCTAAGACCGTGAGAATCGGACGGAGCGTCATGCATGCTAATGGATATCGATGCATCGATACACATTATCTGCAAAATGTAAAAAAAGCTTTTGGTTCTATGTGCGAGTGAAGGAAACGGAGAAGACTTTTGGGTGCCAGTTTTGGCGCCGGGTTAATGAGCGCCAAGTGACCGTAGATGTCGGCGCGCCCGAATGTCTAATTATGGTCAGGTTCCTCGGATCGACGGGTTTGGGTTTTCAGGTGACTTTAACCGCACGATTTCTCTGCTGGAATGTCATTTGAATTGGAGTCGTCAAGCATTATAGGACTAACGATCACTGACTATCCATATCGTTATGGGCGCAAAATGGCCATTGAAGTCGGCGCGCCCGAAACACCAATGAACGGCAAATCACCATCCAAATGGTATAAAATATGGGTAGTTGGCTCCACACGTTAGAGAAATGTTGCTACGGATTTTTAAAGTGTTTTGCAAGACTGGTTATGGTACACGTTTTCCCCTGATTCTCTGGAAATTAAGGCGCGCCAGGTGTCGGTGCCTCCAACACATCACGTGCAATGAGCCAAGGCAACGGTGCCAACCACTGAAGCGCTGGGACGGCAGTTCGTGGGATAGACGGTTGATATGCTCGATGAGGAATCGGTGATTAAGGAATGCTCGACTGGATGCTGATGAGTTCTCAGGTATCGAGCGCAACCGACGGCTTAGTATTGGCAAGTGTGGCACAGCGCGTTGTGAGGCATAGTAAGTAAGCAGCATGAATTACCGGAGGCCCGCTTTTTATTTCTTGTCAGGTTTTTAAACGTTTTGGCATTTACTTTTGGTGCATGGTTCTATGGCTATTCATGGAGTCCGAGTACAGCGACTTCTCGCACGGTGGCAATGTTCGAAGGTCGCTCGCAAGCGTTATCGTCGTGCACAGGTTGTCAAAACCTCCTAGCTGCCGCTGGCTTTAGTAGTGCGAGGAAAACTACACGTAATGAGAAGTGACTTGGTTTTGTGTCTTTTCAGCCACGTTTTAGTGCGGTCCCGGATCGTTATTTAATGATATGCTCGATCAGGAATTGGTGATTAAGGAGTGCTCGACTGGATGCTGATAAGTTCTCAGGTATCGAGCTCAACCAACGGCTTGCTATTGGCGAGTGTGGGGCATGTGCGTTGTGAGCCACAACTGGTATTTAGCATGGAATACGGGAGGCCCGTTTTTGTTCCTTGCAAGGTTTTTACACCCTTCGGTCTTTTCTTTTGGTGCGTGGTAGCTATAAAGCTAATCATTTAATCCGAGCGCACTGTGTTTTCGTATGATGGCAATGTTACGAGTGATCGCTGGCAAGGGTCATCATATCACAAAGACTGTCAAAAAACCCTAGCTGCCACCGGCTGCGGTATTGCGAGCAAAGCTACACTTTTCGGGAAGTAACTGATTGTTGTACCTTTTTCAGACATGTTTTAGTGCGATCCCGGATCTTTAATGATCCGGGGAGATGAAATCCACCTTGCCTCTCCTGTTGGCATGATGAACAGGATGTTATTGTATGACTTTGTGTATCCGTTACCCTGCTTTCAAAACTTAAGCAACGAACTCAGTTTATTTCCAGTGTGCATTTGCAGGCCTATCATGCCATAGTTAGCACACAAAACATTCAGTTGCTTTGATTGTAGGAGCACTTTTTATTCACATGAAAAAGTTAGATGAAGGCTATGTTTTTTCTGTGAAGTTTGGAAGTTTGCATGTACGAAACTAGACATTCTTTGGTCTTTGCCTCTGCCCGCTTAATCATAAGGATGTTTGTAAACTACTCCTTGGACTGTTATTACATTCTGTCTTATTATTTCATTAGCAATACACGAGTTATGATTAATGCAGCCAGCCTTAACACGAGCGAGTGAATGGGGATCAGTAGATGATTCGGATGGGTTTACTTCTTAAGCGTGGGAGGATGCCTGATTCAAATTGTGTGGGAACCGCTTGCTTTCAAGGCTAATCAGCTTATCATCAGTAGTTTATAGTTAAGGTTGTAGTAGTTCATAGTGTAACAGTCTATCGCTGTTCACGCGAACACGGTTTCAGTGTTTCCAAACGATCCTGCAGATGTTGGAATGTTCCCGCTAGTTTATAGCAGATACGTCTGGAGACCCGCGGCAAAGGGTCATCCACCGGGGCCACGGGCGAGGAGCGCCCGACGTTTCACGTATAACTGCAGGGATAGGCAGACGTTCTCTGGCCTTGGCACGCCGCCACTTGCACAACATGCCACTTGATCTGCATAACACAAGGGCAGTGCATACATCCGCCAGCTGGCATGCATTGATCTGGTGATGCGTTGGCCCAGTTGGCTGCACGTTGCTGGTGACTCATGCATCCTGTGTCCAATGAAGGTGCGCTCGCAACTCGACAAGGTTTTGACCGTGTAGGTGGTTAAACACGCTAAAACCGATTGACTTCCTTATTTGACAGACGGACGTTATGCCATCGATCTGCGACTACATGAGTTGCCCTGGGTTGTCTGGGGTATAACCCTGCGTCCGCTACGCGGCAATGAGAAATGAAAGACTGCTGTATATTACAGCGTGTCGTGGAGAATATTTGTAAAATCTGGCTCGCTAGAGATGTCTGCATCGTGCATCAGCGAGTTGGGAGAATGTCGGTAAAGTGAACATTTCTCTAGTCATTGAGGCCGAAACAATGCCGTATTGGTTTGTGGGTGTTGGCGTTTCGCCACCTGTTCCGCTCCGTTCGTCGCAGTTCACCTGTATTCCATGATCTCCAGCGGTTCAGGCTTGGTGTAACAGTGCTGGGGACCGCTCCTCCCAGCGCGGCGGCTTGCTTGCCGCGTACTCAGGGGACCGTCGCGCTGGTTCCCTATTGCTTCCAAGCGTACACTGTAAAGTTGACTTTCCTTCCGAGCTGCGCTCCTCGTAGCGCGCTGTATTTGCTGGATCTGCGCAGAGATCGGCTTTTTAGCCCCGCGGTGACCATGCGTCTTTTCTGCAGTGGATGTGCCCTTTAAACACCTATCAGCGGTAAACGTCTCCGCTTAGTAGAATCGGCTGCTAAGCTTTATTCCAACATTTTCGCCAGCCGTGATTATAGGAGCCGCTTAATAGAATAGTAGTCTTTTCGCATTCTGCCTCTAATCCGCTGTACTTAAAGCGTTGAGATCCTCATCAGCGAATTGCAGCGAAGCCGCACTGTTGCCGACGCCAGGCGGAGGGCGGCGGCAGCGGCGGTCGGGCGGGATGGCGTGCTGGCCGCTCGTTTTCCCAAGACCCCTTAGTCCGCCGGCTTCGAGAGCTAGAGCCGGCCCTCGCGCCGCGTTTCCGACGCTAGCACCGGACTGTGAAGGATGGTCTCTCAGCGCCAATAAGGCGTGAAACAACTCCCGAAAGCCCGAAGCCGACCACGAACCGAACATTGGCCAGCGGCGCCCGGATCGGCGCCGGGCGAGCGGGCGGCCCGAATGGCATGGAGCGGCCGGCCGCCGCCGCCGCCGCCAGCCGCAGCGCCGCCGCGAGCGCGTGCGGCGGCCGGCAGCACGGAACGCGAGACGGCCGGCGGGCCTGCGTCCTGTCAGCCGCCGGCCGTCGCGAACGGCCGGGTGACAGCCGGCACGCGCCGCCGTCGGGGCGACCGGCACCGTGACACGGTCAGCGGCGGCGGCGGCGACGGCGGCGGGGGACCGGTCAGGCCTGCTCGGTATGCAGCCGCCGTCCGTCGGCTTAACGGA